TATATATAGGTCGTAAGGTTTAGATTTTCTTTGTAACTTGTGGTTCCCTTCTGTATTGATTATTCTATGTGCACATTTCAGAAGACATTTATTGCTAGGAAGGCTGGTGGAGGAACCCGAATAACCGCTGTCTTTATTCAACAGTAAGATATGCTTCTTGGTATTTTTATATGCTTGGTTCCCATGCACTTATTTTTCTAAATGCTGTATGTACATCTCTATACATAAGATTTTGATGTTCCCTTATCTTCTTCTCTTTTCAAGTTGGCAGTTTATATTAGTTACAATTTTTCAACAAAACTTTTTTTCCCCTCTGTATGACAGGTTTAAGGTGAGCATCTCACTTTTGCATTTTCATGCTGCATCCATCAGTCTAGAGTAACTTATTGACGTTTATTAGTGTTGGGAAACTGCTTAGTGTCAACTTGTGGTCCATTTCAATTTGAGATTGATAATCTGCAACAGCTGCCTAAAACTTGACCAATCATTGTGCTTATTTTAAGATATCAGAATGTTGCTCCTTCTTCTTCTTCTTCTTTTTCCATTTTTTTTCTCTTCAATCCAAAATCAGAATGGAGTCTTGCTCTGTTTAGATTTTATAGGTTTTATTAAATAGCAAAGCTTTTCTGACATCTCAGACTTTTAATAGCCACAAAATTATATTTTCATTTGTATATTTTATTCATTTATGTTTATGTTTGAATATCCAGAAAATGCGTTTTAAAATGAGCAATTCCAAATTTCCACAAAAAAATGGTTCACTCTAGAATTAGGCAAGAAGAATTAAGGATCTGTGCTAAATGATTTCCAGTGTCATGTTGCATTTTAGAAGCAGCATTATCTTATATAAGAATTTATTTTTCTGCATGATTTCTATGTCGTTTATATCTGAAGAATTAGCATATGTCTGCACTCATAAAATCTTCAAAATAATCGATTGCTTGGTTAGCGTGTTTCAAAATTCAGTTTTTAAATTTGGTTTAATAATTAAACATTTTCAGTAGTTTACACCACACACGGAGAATTTTTTTTCCCCCAGTGGTAGTAAACTTTTGTTTCGCAACTATGCAGTATCCTTAGCAAGGGCTAACGAGAAGGTTTCTGTGTTTAGAACCAGAAGAGCAGGAAATGTTCGATAGACTTTTTATTAGTTTCTTTTAATTCTTCATATATATTGTTCAATTTTTGTTCAGCTCTTCAGCCATAAACTAACAATTTTTACCTTTGCTAATAAATTTTTTGAAGTCGACTATGGTTTTTTTTTGCTCCTCAAACACGCCCAAAATCACTCCCACATGTCAAAGAAAAATTCCCTTCTGGTGTTTCAATTTTTCTGATTTTGATTAGAACGCAGGCAGCAGGATAAAGAATTGGACGAACTTAGTGCCAGTGTCTAAAGAATTGGAGATGTTCGGCTCACTATACATCATGAACTGACTGCACAGGTAATTGTTATCTTAAGCACCACATATATTTAAAAAAGAAATGATCTGTAAGATTATAAAAATCTGCTCTTATGTTGAATCTGCAAATGATTTAACTACATTTTTCATACAAATTTTTATTTAGATGACAGCCTCCAAAATAGTCCTCTTAATGTAATGGCAGAGTCTTATGAAGGAAAATACGCAATACAGGCAGCAAAATTAAGGCTCAAATTTGTAAGTAATCATTATTTTTCTCATTTTTTAATAATGGTTAGCAAAGTACTTCCATTATTTTTACAATTTCAACTGTCTCACTAAATGTTTCTTTCTTACCAGTCAAGCAGTACAACAGCTCTATCTTACAGCCTGGCACAGCGGGTCGCCTTTTTATGAGGTTTATTTCAGTTTGTTATTGAAGTAAAAGATTAGATTTAAATATTATTTTATGCCTGATCTGTGAATATTGGGTCTTATTTTTATGGGTTTTGCCTTTAATTTTCTGATACGTAAATTGTCTTCTAAATTCACAAATTGGACAATATTATTTTATGTCTGATCTGTGAATATTGGGTCTTATTTTTATCGGTTTTGCCTTTCATTTTCTGATTCGTACTTTTTCTTCTATATTCACAATTTGGACATTGCTTTTTTTTTTTTACTCAATATCTTTGTTAAAAATTTTATTACCTGCTTTCCTTGGTTTTCAACTTTCTCTATTGTCGTTAAATTTGTTTTGAAGTTGCCTTGAGAATTAGCTTATTATTAATATTTTTCTGAAGTGTGCACCTGTGGAATCTCGATAGTTTTCATCTTCCTACTAGGAAAAGGTAATTTTTCTGTTTTTAAATCTACGACAATGTTAATGTTTTTTGTTTCTGTATTTTAGTTGTGGACATTTTTGAAACTTGGCGTTTATTTTTTTTTTCCTTATGTACATGGAATGCTGCTGCGACAGATCTTTCAATTTTTGATCAAATATCACCTGTGCAATGTTGATAGTTTTCATCTTCCTACTAGAGAGAGGTAATTTTCCTGTTTTTAAATCTATTGGAATGTTAATTCTTCAATAAATCTATTGGAATGTTAATTCTTTAATGAAATAATATTACACGTAAATTTAAAACTTTTCCTTATTTTTTAATAACACATTCTTCAAAATATCACTATTTAAAAATACTTTGTTTTTTACCAAAATACATTTTTAATGGAGTCCCAAACAAAGGCTTAATTGAATCCTCTTCACAATAACCTCATGTGTTCTGTTTAGTAAAGCACTATTAAGAGGGTTAATAAATGCTTTTGCATTTGAAAATCAAGCATTTTGACGATAATATGCAAAAAAAAAAAATTCATTTGTTGACATCAAATCTTGTTCTCTACTGATAGGTCCACGTAGACCAATGTTATAAAATTTAGTTCATTTCTCATGTTATTAACTCCATGTTCATAATGATTTTCCCTTAGTGACATTTGGTTGAAATTTACCATTTTCTGCATTTATTATCAGTACTACTCCTGAACCTGGTCCCACTCTTCTTTCCTACTCTTTTAGGGAGCTAAATGGTTTTCAACTGCTACATTTTTCGTTCTTGTCTATAGTCTATGTTCAATTTCATATATATTCAATTTCATTGGATTTAGTCACAAATCACTACATGACAGCATTATGCAGGAAAATGGTGATTTTCCTCTTTTTCTGTATGGTTGTTCCATTTCCTTTAACCCTGTTGCTTTTGTGGTCCACTTTTTTCTCTTTCTGTGTATGGTGATTTCAGTGCTAAGAGAGTGACAAGAAACATTGATGAGAGCTTGGAAAAGTTGCAGCTTGATTACGTTAATATCTTGCAATGTCATGATATAGAATTCGGTTCACTTGATCAGGTCCTTGCAGTCTTCCCTCAATTTCAGTTTTCTTTTTAAACAAACTCAGTATCTTTAGCAAATATATTCACATTCAATTTAAAAGTTATTTGCAATCTTGGTCATCCTTACATTCTCCTATTTTTTCTTACTTCCTCCATTTTTCTTCAAGTACTCTTCTTGATTTTCTCATATTTTCTAACACCGTGTTCGCTTCCATCTACTTCTATTCAAGTTTAGATGAGGAAAGCGTTTTTTTAACGGAAAATAGTAGATTAGTGATTTCCAGTTTTGTCAATGAAGAACTTCTAAAATTGAACCTTTTTTTTTTTTTGGTATGATGTTTACTGTATTGTATATAATTGTATAGTCTCTTTTTCTATTTCCTCTATATGTCTGGTTATTTTGACTGACGATCATTTTCTCATACACTGTAGTGTATTTACTCTATTATTTTATATTGAACAGATTCAAGTTAGGGACACAGTTCTTCATTGGGAGGTACTAATTTTTCAGTGAAAAAGTTTCTAATTTTTATTACTCTCAAAGCACAAACAAATAATTCCTGATTCCTCGCTCATTGACAACCCTACTTGATGGTTCTTCCCCACTCTCTTTTATGTTTTCTTTTAATAGATATAATTTTAACTTTACTGTATCTTGATTTTACTTCAGATTATTAGCACATGGAGTGTTCAGAATAAAATTGATTTTCTTTCATTATCATAGACGCGACATTCAGAAGATGTTCGTGAGGTAATGATACAAAAAAGGAAGAATACTTCTTTATTCCTCTATATTTGCTATGTGATATATATTAATAGTTAGACTACAAACATTCATGATTTCCACTTTTCTTGTTTTTAACTACCAATAAAAAATGTCTAAAGTCAAAGGTTAAATTCCAGTATATTTGTCTATTTTTCTACACGAATTTTGCTTGTATATATAACCAACTGCTCTTATATAATACATCATGAATTTCTCATTTTTCCTGATTTACTTGTCAACTGAAAAGCACATTATTGTTATTTGGTTTTATCTTTTTAGGGGAAATTCGATTTTGAACTGTTTGGGAGTTTAAAGGAGCTTAATAATTCACTGGGTCTTTCAGTAATTGATTTATTTTGTAAATCTTTTTTTGCTCTTGGCTCTGTTACATTATAACATAAATGTTCTAAGGTTTTGGGTCCTTCTTGGGGATTCCTTTGGGAAATTTATTAATATTTTAGAGTGAATGTATCCTTCTGATATGGATTTTGCCCGCGAGAGTGGCACGATGTTGATTCCCACACGTTTTGTGTCGCCTTATGGTGGGAGAAATGTACAAATCAGTGGCTCATTTACTGGGTAAGAATTCATCAGTATTGGAGAAACTATATCTTTAGAATGAAGTTCGAAGGAAATAAGTATTGTCAAGTAAACATAAATGCTATGAAATTGTCACTGATCATAATAGCTGTGAAAAAATACTATATGGTAGGCAAGTGTTTTTGCTAAGAGGTTGCTAGCAAACAAATAACTGACTACAAGAACAATCTGTCCTTCACATTTCACACGTCTATAACATCTATGTATCTGATTTATGTGATGCTCCTATCTTTAGCCTCTTTTTTGGTNGACACATTACAAGAGAATATCATTATTTTTTGAAGTTTTCTTGAAAAGCTTCGTTTTGGGGTTTAGGTGTGAAAAAATTATAAATGGGGAGTAAATGGAGGAAAGTGAAGCTTGCACTTGGTTTGAATATGTGTTTGTATACTCCAAGAAATAATATAGTTGATAATGACGATGAGGATGAATCTTTGCCGCCGTCTTCTTATAGACACTCAGACGCTGCTCTGCTGTCACCAGTGGCGAACTGGACCTCAGCTCAGCCGACGCCCGGGTCAAATAGGCTGAAGTTTTCCAAGAGCTTGAGTAGATCTTCTTCTAAGGTCTTGCATCCTTGAGCTTTTATTTCTTTAGTTATTTCATTTTATACGTTTCAATATGTGTTTATGAGCTTTTTCATTCATGTTGATTGTTGTTGGTTGTGATTGATCACTAATGGATGGAGGTGGGTGATGATTTTAGGAAATCCTGGGTTTTTTATGAATGCATTGAATAGAAGGGTTTAAGTATTTCATGTGTTGGAAACTGAGAAATAACGGAATCTGGTTAGATAAAAATTATGAGCCCTTAGAAGGCGAAATTGGATACCTTTCTTTGGCGTAAAATGTGGATAAATGTCAATTATTTATGGTTAATCTGAGTCTGTTAGGTTAGTTCACTAAATTTTTGTAGCTGGATAAAATATATGTTAAAAGTTTCTTTTGGTGTGTGATAGGATATAGAAGCAGGAAGACGATCGATCCTTTTACAGATCAAACATATGCGTTTTTGGCTCATATGATTTTTTTTAAAAAAAAGCTACTACACTTATTGAAACTTTGAAACAAACATGACTAATCTGTATCTTTTGTGTTTTACTTTTTTGGACTAATACAATTTCATATCTAAATGAACACTGTTGCTCATTTGTGTCATTGTTTTGCTTCTTCTGCCGATATTGTCCTGAAGTTACCCTGTTTTCTCATTTCCCTTAATTTAATTTTTTTCCTTTTCTACTTGTTTGGATGCGGGGAAGGATGTGGATTAAGAGTGTTACACTCAAAAGGAAAGCCGAGATTTTCTAATTTCAATTTGGTCCCTCAACATTGGGAGGCTGATGTGCATTCTTGGCTTGTAGTGTTTGCAAAAGTTTACCCCTTTTTGGAGGAGCTGAGGCTCAAGAGAATAACTTTTAAGTGATGAGAGGTTGAAGTTCTTGGCTACGTCGTTTCCGGGATTTAAGGCTTTATCTTTGTTGAGTTGTGAGGGATTTAGCACTGATGGACTCAAAGCCATTGCCACACACTGCAAGTAAGGAAACCATCTTCCTTGTTTGAGTTAAATAAATTTCTGATGATAATTGAGTTTTTTGTTTGGTTTTCTTTTGATTAATTTTGAATTTCATGTTTCTCTAGCTCTGGAAGTTTTTATTTTTTGGTTTTGGGTTTACGTTTGACAATTCTTGTTGCTTTTACTGTGTTGTTATTAGCTTTGCTAAACTGGGTTGGGTTGCTTTATGGGTTACTTTTGTTTTCTTTCCCTGCAGTGCATCTATACTGATGAAATTCAAGTTGTTAGTTGAAATGATAAATTCTTATGCTATTTTTAGCATCTTTTCCATGAAGTGCATGACGTATAAATTCCTACAAGTGGTAGAGCTGTGTCTGAGTGTGTGGATTCCTTGTGGTTGAAGCAAGATGTGCTTTGGTTGGATGTGGTAATACTGATGAAATTCAAGTTGTTAGTTGAAATGATTAATTCTTATGCTATTTTTAGCAGCTTTTCCATGAAGTGCATGACGTATTAATTCCTACAAGTGGTAGTGCTGTGTCTGTGTGTGTGGATTCCTTGTGGTTGAAGCAAGTTGTGCTTTGGTTGGATGTGGTTGAGAATTAAATGAGGTGGTTTTGGGGTGGGGGTATAGTGTTTGTGTGTTTTCTTTTTTTTCTTTTTTTTTTTTTGCAACAAATAGAGTTTTAGTGGAAAATTGAAGTGCTTTCTTTTGTTTTACAATGAAAAAGTTTTAGCGGAAAATTAAAGTCCTTCATCTTTATAATTGTTTCTCAACTTTCTGTTGCTTTCTATTAAAAAAATGTTAACATTTTTGAATAGATGAAAGAATTGAGAAGGATTCACAATGATGAAGAAAAGTTGGTCAAAATTATGAGGTAAGTTTGAACTATTCTTATTCTGGTGTAGTCTTAGGTAATAAAAATATATATTCTTCTTATATATTGGCTCAAGCCTTCTTGGAGTTTTTTGCAGGAGTCTTGAGAGTTTGCCTAAGGATTTGAAGGCAGCCATTGAGGATGGAAGAATATCGGGATCGATTTGTTGAGATATTTTGAATTGGAAAAGTCTGGTTTGCTTTCTTGGTTAATGAAGTTTGGTGGATTCAAAGAGAGATTATTGGCTGATGATTTCTTCTTGGCTAAAGTCTTCATTGAATGTGGCGTTGGAGTTTTCACCAAGGTAATCGAATCTAAGGAAATGAATTTATATTCTTCATTAGTGTATGTTAAAGATTGTTCCTTTTACCATGTCCTCTATTTGTTGAATTTCAGATGAGACGGTTAAAGCCTGATCTTACATAATTTTATTTTTCATTGATTGAGGGATTATTTTCTAATTATGTTATTGCTGATAAGTGTGCTTTATAATTTATTTATGATAAAAATGCTTTTGAGATTGATACAATAGAAAATAATATGTTGATGATGTTTTATGACTTAAACTTTTTATTGATTCTATAGTTCATTCACATCTCTTTCCAGATACATAGTTGTATACTTCTCTATCTTGTATCTTTGTTATCAGGCTGGCAAAGTCATTGATGAAATGCTATCCTTGTCCAAGTTTCCACTAATTGCTGTAGACCTCTTGGAGGCTCTTGCAGCTGCACCTGGAATGGCGGCAGGAGGTAATCCATTCTTGCTGTTTATGTCGTTGTTCTGTCTTTTTCTTCTTGTTCTGGAAGGAAGATGAGATAATCTTCAAAGTAGGATTTTGGATTTTCGTACTTAAGTTAATTTATCACTGTATTAATTAAAGTAGGCGTATAAATTTGCTATTTTTCGAGTGTTGAACTCAACATGTTTTAGGAATGATGAGAACAGTACTTCTAAGGATTCTTCTTCACCCCCTTCAATGGGTTGGTTAATGCAGAAGAATGAGAAGCCACATCGTGTCAAGTGTGATGTTTCTGAAGAAGTTTAGAAACCCCATTTGGATAGCAAAAAATTAGAGAAGTGAGGGTCATCTATGTCAGGTACTAATTATTCATATATTTTTCTTTTGTTATTTATATTAGTAATGTGTTTATTTGTGTCTTATATGATCATATATTTCTATTGGATTAATATAATTCCTTGAATTTCCGTACTGTGTACAAGTTGAGATGATGAAAGAAAGATTTTCAAAATTACTCCTTCGAGAAGATACATCTGATTGTGGAAATGGGGTTTGCACTGCTGTGACTATATCAATGCTATTACTAATCTTTGTGGTATATTACTTAAAACACTCAATTAATATCGATTAATTAACGTGTTTGCTTAATTTGAAATTGGAATGAAATCAATTATGATCAGTGTGTGCAACATGTGCTTTATTGGTTTTATTAACTACAATTATTGGCCACATTTGAAGATTGGAACCTTTACCAACTGAGAAGAAACTGATGCACAGAAGGGAAATGAAGTGACTTCTTTGTGTTAGTGACCATGTTGTCCAATTGATACTTTCTTAGCAAACATTTCCAAATGGAAGCAACCTTGAGATATCTTCATAAACATGGAACAGTTAAATTCAAATGAAAGGAGATTTAAAATAGGTAGCCACTAGCCAGTATGTTATCTTCTCCGATTACCAAAATTTTTGAACAGTAAAATATTAAGGTTGATTTCTTAACAAGTAATGATTAACATTAGATTTTTCAACTACATCTTTACTCTTTAAATGCTTGCAAATGATCCGATTAAGATCTACATACAGATCAACGAGCTTAAATATGCTCTGGCACCACTTTCAGGCCATAAGTTGTAGTATTGCAGTCAGGTGAAGTGCATAGACCTAGAACACCAGGTTGAACACATTAGAAGTGCATATTTATGAAGTTGATGTCCCTTGCTGTCTGGCATGTCTCATGGAGAATTCTTCTAGAAGTTGTTCCTTCCCTAGACCGTTGATCAAATGCCTTGGAAATACCTTCTTAATGAAATTCATTTACTTAATGTTATCTGTATTTCTAAACTACTGCATAGTATACTGGGTTGATCCAGAATATCTTGAAAGAAAATGCCCCACTGATATGCTGACATAAACTAAGTTGAAGGTTTCAGAAAAAACATAATATGTGGCTCAAAATAAATGTAATTGGGACCATGGGGAAGAGTTATTAACTTAGGTTTTAATTGGGTTATCCCAATATGAAGCCGTGACTAATGAGAAAAGTTTGCGCAGTTGATACCTTGAACTTGACCTGGAGTAAATGTGTGTGTACTAATGGAATTGGTTCGCATGCATGTTAGCTATCCAGCTATTTGTTTTAATTAGATTATTGTATTTTGTTTTAAAGGTCCCTGCTGTCATTTTTTTTGGGTTGCTAATTTTAAAATATCTGTTGCAGCCTATATTAAGCCACTGAAGTTGATTCTTTCTTCTGAATGTGTTTACAGGAAAATTTAGACCGAAATCCTGGTCCAAAGAATTGGAAGTGTTGTGCTCACTATGCATCATGAACTGACTGCACAGGTAATCATTATTTTTTTCTCATTTTTTAATAATAGTTACCAAAGTACTTCCATTATTTTTACAATTTCAAGTGTCTCACTAAATGTTTTGTCTAAAAATTAAATGCAGGTATTGACTTCTTCCAATTGAGCACATTTGAATCAGCAACACAGAGGAACAAAATTAGAATTTCCCTTCTTCACGTCAATACAAAATCTCCAAAATTGTTTTAACTTCACTACCACCCACTAATTCCACCAGAAGGACACCTGTCCTCTACCAAAAATCACATACTCACCCTGACAACCCACTTCCTGCATCATTTTCTATAACCCTTTACTTACAATACTGAACAAAAATTTTTGTCTGCCACCAAAAGGTTTCCATTCTGCATTCAGGACAGACATCCAACTTTCCCTGCACTTATTCTAAATTTCCATCATTTCCATCCACTACCATTTCCCATCTCCCAACATATTAAACACTACTAAAAATCTCTTCCCATTTTATCTTCTCCACCTTCATTTGTACCATTTTAACATTATTAACCTCCTAATTTCCTTTCTGTAACACACCACCATCCATAATTCCAAAAACCCAAATACACGGCACCTGGCAACCTACTTCCAACAGCCATTCCCTACAAACTTCTGCCTATAATAACAGTAAACATAAATTTTTGCTTACCACTAAACATTTTCTTCTCTCTATAATAGAAATCTAACTCTCTTCCCACTACTTCCTCATCTCTCAACATACAACAAACCAAATTCAACCTTCCTGCTGTTAACCTTCTTCAGTTTCATTTGCTCTCTATTAACTTCAGCCAGGTATTTTCTCCTCTTTCACCAAATAGGATACATTAACTTCAAACATTTTTAAATACATCTTCTTATATATTCATCAATATTTATGTTCCATTTTCACTCTTGTATTTGTACCCATCCTCATCTACTAATCAAATAAAATTCCTTGCAGGTACAAATGGCCACAGAATACAAACTCATACCTGACATCAAACCAGGAGAGTTTGGCTGGACTGTGAAAGCAGTAGTTTCAGAAAAATGCTCTCCCAACAAAGCTCGGAACAGCCCATTGAAATACCAACACATTTGGTAAATGGATCCTAAGTTAAATCTTCTCACATAGTTTACATTCCATTATTTTAAACTTAGATCTAAAATAAATCAAAACCTTGTTTAACAGCATCTTACAATACTCCTCAAACTTTCCTGCATCAATTTTGCTTTTGAATGATTTCATATATGAATGTTGCTTGATTTATTTATTTAGAACACAACAGATTACTATCAAAAAATTACTCAGTCTTCAAAAACTTAGGAATCTCTATTTCTGTAGTAACATTATTTCAGTGTACATATTTGTTCTTCTCTACCTACATCACATCTGATTGTTGAAAGAAAGTCATCAAATTTAAAATGTTTTGTCACATGTATTCTTCTTGTGTTCCTTAAATGAACAATAATTATTTTCAACTAAAAGAAACCTTGTGAAATACTAGCTACTTTGATTATTGGATTTAAATGTCCACTTAACAAAGATCTAAATTTGATACTCAAATTCCAGTTGAGTTTTTCTTTCTTTTTTAATCCTTTCGTAATGTAATTTGAAAGTGCAGAAGATTTTATCTTGAAATTGAAGGAGATTTTCTATTTGTTTCATGTGCATTTGTCATCAAGAGAAAATAACCTTTATCTCCACCATTTTCTCAGCCCTGCCTCTAACTCATAATTGGATGGCTTAGGTAGTTATTTCACCAATGTTTTCATTCTAGAGTTCCTACATGCATATTCATCATAAAAAGTAAAATAAACCTTATAAACATTATTCAAAGATTATTAAAATGGTTCCCAGTAATTTACAACTTGAGTTCTCTATTGTGAACTTGCTTTTGGGTGAGCAAAAATAAAGTGTGGCAAGGAAAGCAAGGGGAAAGAAATTTCTGTACAGAGAAGAAAATTAAAGTTCGAACTGAGCTAAGTGCTAATATTCATTTACTCCATTCATCTTAAATAGGATGTCTGCATTACTGATTCAGATGTGCATTTTTTATGTGTACTTTCCTATATAAACTCTCCAACCTTTTGTAGTTGAGATTTCTGTGATGTGTTTTGTTGTATCATGTTGGTAGTCATATTTAGGTGGTTTTATTGAACATAATATTCTGGTCACTGAATTTCCATCCTTTGTCTTACTATACAAATCCATACTATTACTCATTTAACTTCTCATCTTTCTTCTCTTATAAAATCTAACTATAACATGTTTCAACTTCATTTTCTTCCAGGGAAACAAAGTTCAAGCTACACTATTTGACAATGCCATCACAGCGTTTGAAGACACCTTACTACCACAAAAAACATACCTCATCTCTAATGCACAAGTTAAAGAAACCGATAAAAACTATGCCGCCCAACTTGGTAACATTCGATTGACAATAAACGCGAAAACCATAATTGTTGAAATTAATGAACAATTCAACTCTCTCCTCTCATCAGCTTACACCTTCATATCATTCCAAAACCTTCACCTATACATGGANAAAACCTTCAGCTATACATGGACACAAAGACAGAAATTGGTGAGTATTTGCAATCCTATTCAGCATCCTACACTTCATTACCTCTATTTTGAACATACACTACAGCTCATACTAATTACAAACACAATTTACTTCCTGTAGACATCATTGGAATCGCAATCGACATCTTCCCCAAAAGAGTAATTCAAGTTCATGACAACCAATCAACAGTGCAAGACGTGATCCTCATAAACGAAAGGTTAGAAACTATTGCCTACGCTAAAATTACTTTTTCAACTAGATATTAAATACGACTAAAACCTTACAGGTTCGAAACACGAATTCTACAAATGTGGGACAATTTCGTGTCAAATGAATGTCATACCGTTTGCAACACCATCACAAAAAAACCAGTTCTTGTGGGCAGCAGACTAAAAGTAACCTCTTTCAATGGTAAATTCACTCATCTTGCTACACAATCACATACCAATTTAAACCTCATACATGAAACCTAAATTCAACAACTATTCAGGCATATCTGTCTCTACAAAATTGAACTCATCAGTGCTCATTAATCCCCCATTTGAGCAAGTTCTTCAACTAAAGAATTGGTACATTCTCTCCCTCCCTCAATTAACTTACATACTTATATCTATTTTCATTATTATTCTTCATTTCCTTACTCTAACAATTCAAATCTTACATGCATATTAGGTTGGAAACCAACATAACCACAGTAAATGAAATTGTGGCAAGAAAAGATTATATCTTCCCCACGTCCGCCACAATTTCTTGTCCACCACAACAAAAATTGCTCAACATCAGACAAATACAACAACTCCAACATATGGTACACTAAACTACTACTCCTCACTTGGATAACACTTCACACCAACCACTAACTCATTTTTTTCACTTATTTTATACATTGCAGCAAAAACACTTCTGGACAAAAGCAAATGTCACATTAGTTCCATTAAACCAACCACTATGGTATCTATCATGTGACAATTGCAATAAATCAGCAAGTGCAAGTGTAAATGAAACATATTTCTGTAGATTTTGCAAACACAATTACGCTACACCAACTCCAAGGTATGATTATAATCATGTCACAACCACATCATTTATATCAATCTATGCATTACATATTATCTAATGATCATAAACCATCCAACACTAACAATTTCACTTTCATGTCAACAGAGCAAGAGCAACCGTCGAACTACAAGATTCCACAGGCTCGATAACAGCATCAATTATTGGAAATCCAGCTGAAACATTCTTCAAATGCCCAGCAAAAGAACTGATGAAACAAACTGCTCAGGTATAAATCCAAAAATTAAATTTCTCTACACACGTATGACTTTCCCCCTTGAATGTATTGTTAACTACTTTTCATAAACATTTCAACAGGAACCCATGGAGAACAAATCTAAAATTCAGACAGCTACTACTCAAGAGCACATCTTATACATAAAAAGTGTAAATGTAGAAGCTACGACCAACAAAGCTCCATATGAAGTCATCTTTATCCTCGACTCTCAACTGCAACATCAAATGGCTACCAACATGATACAAAAAACCACATCACAAACATCTCAACCTCCAAATGCAAACACTACACCAAGCAGCTCAACAATGGAGACATCCTTTACAGAAGAAGCTGACAAACATCCAACCAAAAAACAAAAGCAAGAGTAATAGTCCACAAGTTCAAAATATGTATTTTGAATCTCTTTTGCATCGTTATAGCTAGAGTCTACTGCCTAAATCTCTAGCACTATTTGTCATACCAAATTTTGTTGATTGTACATAGACTTGTTAAAACCTATGTATCCAGTATGGCATATAAGCTCTTTTGTGTTCTGCTTTATATTACTGTCACAAATGCAAGTATCCATAAAGCAAAATAAGCTTCCTTCATGCAAACAGATTACATTATTCATTGAAAGAACATATATCCAAATATTCCATTATTCATTGAAAGACCATACATCCAAATGTAAACATTATCACTTACACTGCACTACCACTACACGTGCAAGGCACGTGCAAACACTAGTATAAATAAAAGAGTGACTTTGGTGCCACTGTTCCTAAGCTGGTTGGCCAAGTAAGTCAGCCATTTTCGAGCCATTTAAGCCGAGCCATAAAAGCCGAGGCATGTAAGAAGAGATTTTTATAATTTACTTTTCTGCATTTTCCTTTCTCTTCTCACACATCCCTACATAAATAAAAGAGTGACTTTGGTGCCACTGTTCCTAAGCTGGTTGGCCAAGTCAGCCATTTTCGAGCCATTTAAGCCGAGGCATGTAAGAAGAGATTTTTATAATTTACTTTTCTGCATTTTCCTTTCTCTTCTCACACACGGCACCTATGCTCCCCCACTTTCAATTTCATCTGACACAAGCAACATTTCTCATTTCTTCAGTCTTTCCACAGCCTTTCTTCTTCCCATTTTCGTTCATTTTCGAAATTCTTCGCACCCAGCTGCTTCGCACCACCATCGTTGGGCAGATCATACCACCATTCCCCAATCCATCATCAGGACCTAAAATGTTTATTTTCCCCATTTCAGATGCAGAAGGGGGAGCAACAAGGGCTCCATTTTCAATTTCCATCTGACACGCAACATTTCTCATTTCTTCAGTCTTTCCACAGCCTTTCTTCTTCCCATTTTCGTTCCTTTTCGAAATTCTTCACACCCGGCTGCTTCGCACCACCACCGTTGGTCAGATCATACCACCATTCCCCAATCTATCATCAGGACCTAAAATGTTTATTTTCCCCATTTCAGATGCAGAAGGGGGAGCAACAAGGGCTCCACACATTAATGAAGGTAGAAAAATATGGTAAATGGGTTAATGCTCCTTTGTTTAACTCCATAGTGCATAAGGAAACCAAATTGTGGATATATTGTTTCATTTGACAGATTAATTAACCTCAAAAGTAGGTTCAGAACAAGAGAGGCTCGTACAAATTTCTCAGTGATAATATAGATATATAAATTGATACCTGTAACAAAATAAGCTTTCTCATAATCAAATTTGATAGTTGAAAGAACTTCATCTATACTGAAAAGTGGAACGTCGCACCTCTGATCGTTATCCACTGAAATCGACTGGACGCCGTTTTTTTTTGCATACATAGCCCATAGGGAAATAATGAAACCCTTACGTCGCCGCTCTTAATTATTCTTTTATTGCTTCGACTTCCTTCTAAGAACCGTCCCTTTTTGTTCTTCAGAATCAATTACTTACTCTATAGTGTGTGCAAATTTGAGAAATACTAACAAGTTTCTTTGTTTTTTGCGAGATTTCGAGGCTTCATTTGAGGTACGGTACTTTTTTCAGATTCAGTTAAAGTTTTTGATTTCCTGCTTCTTTTCTTTTTATTATTTATGATAACAAATGTTTGTAGGTTTTGCGAAATTTTGAGGCTCAATTTCTTCTCTGGGTTTTGAAAGATTTCGAGGTTTTATTTGAGGTACAATATTTTTTCTCTGATTCTGTTAAAGTTTGAGATTTTCTACTTTGTTTTTTTCTTATTTTTTTCAGTATCTGTTGAAGTTTTTGTTTTTGTATTCCTTTTCTTTTTAAATCTTAAAATTATGTAAATCCTCATAGGATAACTCTTGATTTGTGTGAAATTGAGCTTTGAAGTAACAAACTAAATTAATTAAATTGATTAGAGTGTTGTAAGATAGTATTTTTGTGTTTATTAGTTTAGTAATTTTCGTTTCTTCAGTATCTGATATCTAGTTTTTATTTTGGAGTTGGATATTTAGTTCTTTTTTTTTTAGCTTAAATTTATTCTTGTATAGAGTGCTGTTAGAGATTAGGTCACTGGAAAAAATATGTGTTGAAACGGGATTGACACTTCAGGTATGTTGAATGTTGTTTTAACTAAAATTTATTACAAAAAATGAAATATAGGATTCACGTTTAATAGTTGACTTTGACTTAGATTTGAATCAAATTTTTTTAATTGAACCAAACAGGGGCTATGGCATGGATAAAACAAGATTATAAGGTATACGACGGGAAAATGGAATCAATATCATTAATTGACAGATTTTGAAATATTAAGAAAATGTGCAAGTAATAAATATTAGATAACAAATCCTCTATTAGATGAAGATATGTCATCAAAAGGTAACAAATCCATTCAATAGTTTTCACTTTTCATGTTTT